CGTAGGTCCACTTGAACAGCTACTTTGGAGAAAGCACCTCAAGGACATGGATCGGTCCTAGTCCCTCACACAATTGGCCCTTCCCCTACAGGTACACCTGAGCAAGGCTCCACCATGTAGAAGCTAGGGCCGAGGAACAGATTGCATGAGTCAGGACACTGCTGGTTATGGAGGAGATTAAAATGGCCCAGTATGGCAGCCACTATCTCTCGCTTGGTCTGCCCAGGTGTCTTCCTTCACCCCTCTGAATTCAGGGCTCTTAACTAGATAGCTCTCTGTAGCTCCTCAGGCTGGTTCTTTCTCCATAGTTTCTGGCTAACAGCCTTTAGATGTTGTGGCCTTGCTTGCACCATTCTCTGTTTTCACCTCTGAGTCCTGCCCCCTCCTCAGACCCTTCTGCTCTTGGTCATTTTGGCCATTTACCAGAAGGGAGAGCTTCTAAGGTGACACTAGACTCCCTTCTTTCTCAGATAATCAGAGGCTCAATTTATGTTTATTTCAATTATGTTTTAAATGTTCAATATCATCAATAACACTGAGTTCATTCAGTACTAAAGAAAAAAAAACCCCAACCAGTTGCCATGGAGTTGACTCCCATTCATGAAGACCCATGTCTGTCAGAGCAGAACTGTGCTCCATAGGGTTTTCTTTCTTCCTGTTTTTTAAGTGTAAAATATGTTAATTGAAGCATTGCGTGGAAAATCTTACGTATAACAGAATGAAACATTGCCCAGTCCTGCGCCATCTTCATGATCATTGGTGTGTCTGAGTTCATTGTTGCCACTACTGTGTAGTGCCTTCCAGCCTGCACGTTCTCTGCATTTTTATTTGCTTCCATCTCTGGGCAAAGGGGGATGCATATAGCGAACACCCATCTGCTGCCAGCTAGCTGCAGGCAACTCACCGTCAAGCCTTCTTAGTTTAGGAGGCTAGAAGTTTGAATCCAGGCGCTGACTCTAGGGGAAGGTTTTCCCTGTCTGTTGGCTCTGGAGGAAGGGTCCTTGTCTCTTTTTACCTTCTGTTCCTTGTTTCCTTGGCGATCTTCATGTGGCGTGTATCTTCCTGTCTGTAATCTTCCTTTCTGTGCTTCCTTCTGTGCCTAATCTGCTCTTTTTGTTATATATATAGTTTATTTTATTTTATATATGTCATTTATTTTATTATTTTGAGACTATACGCAGCAAAACCTGTTGCCATTGAGTCATTTCCGACCTATAGTGACCCTAGAGGACAGAGTAGAACTGCCCCATAAGGTTTCCAAGGAGCGGCTGGTGGATTTGAACTGACAGCCTTTTGGTTGGCAGCCGTATCACTTAACCACTGCACCACCAGGGCTCACAAAACATACACCCATTCAAGAGTTTCTACATGTACAGTTCAGTGATATTGATTACATCCTTCGAGTTATACAACCATTCTCACCCCTTTTCTGAGTTGTTCCTCCATCATTAACATAAACTCACTGCCCCCGACTCAATAGGGTTTTTTTTTTTTAATTTTATTTTGTTCTTATTTTGAGAATATACACAGCAAAACAAACACCAATTCAACAGTTTCTACGTGTACCATTTACTAACACTGATTACATTCTTCCAGTTGTGCAACCATTCTCATCCTCCTTTTCTGAGTTGTTCCTCCCTAATTAACATAAATGCACTGCTCCCTAAGGTTGCTATATAATCTTTCAAGTTGCTGTTACGAATTTGAACCCATATAGGTAAGTCTTAAAAGAACATAATGCTCAATCCCACTCGTAGGAATATATCCTAGAGAAATAAGAGCCATCACACGAATAGACATATGCACACCCATGTTCTCTGCAGCATGATTCACAATAGCAAAAAGATGGAAACAACCTAAGTGCCCATCAACAGATGAATGGATAAACTATGGTACATACACGAAATAGAATACTACGCAATGATAAAGAACAATGCTGAATCTTCGAAAACATTTCACAGCATGGATGAATCTGGAGGGCATTATGCTAAGTGAAATAAGACAATCACAAAAGGACAAATAACTGTATGAGATCACTTTTAAAAACTCATGAAAAGGTTTATACACAGAAAGAAACAATCTTTGATGGTTACGAGGGAGGGGAGAGATGGGGAGGGAAAAAAACTAACTAGATAATAGATAAGTTGTAACTTTAGTGAAAGGTAAGACAATACACAATACTGGGTAAGTCAGCACAGCTTAAGCAAGGCAAAGTCATAGAAGCTTCAAAGACACATCCAGACTCCCACAGGGACCGAGTCACTGGGCTGAGGGCTGGGGACCATGGTCTTGGGAGACGTCTAGCTCGATTGGCGTAACATAGTTTATAAGGAAAATCTTTTACATCCAACTTTGATAAGTAGCATCTGGGGTCTTAAAAGCTTGTGAGGGGCCATTTAAGATACGTCTACTGGTCTCACCCTGTCTGGAGGAAGGGAGAATGAGGAAAACTAAAGACGTACGGGAAAGATTAGTCCGAAGGACTAATGGACCACGACTACCACAGCCTCCACCAGACAATCCAGCACAACTAGATGGTGCCCGGCTACCACCACTGACTGCTCTGACAGGGATCACAATAGAGGGTCCCAGACAGAGCTGGAGAAAAATGGAGACCAAAATTCTAACTCACAAAAAATATCAGACTTACTGGCCTGACAGACTGGAGAAACCCCAAGGATATGGCTGTTGGATGCCCTTTTTATTCAGTACTGAAGTCCCTCCTGAGGTTCACCCTTCAGCCAAAGATTAGACAGGCCTATAAAACAAACAATAACACATGTAGTTCAACCATGTATGAGACTAAATGGGCACACTAGCCCAGGGCCAAGGATGAGAAGGCAGGAGGGGACAGGAAAGCTGGACAAATGGAAATGGGAAACCCAGGGTCGAGAAGGGAAGAGTGTTGAGACATCGTGGGGTTGGCAACCAATGTCACAAAACAATCTGCGTATTGATGGTTTAATGAGAAAATAATTTGTTCTGTAAACTTTCACCTAAAGCACAATTAAAAAAAAAAAAAAGAACATAATGCTCAAGGCAGACATTTTTTACTAGTTAAGCTAAACTACTGTTTGTTTTTAAGAAGACTTTAGGGGATATTTTTGGTTTAAGCTTTAAAGATTATCTCAGGGCATTAGTTTCAGGGGTTCATCCATCCTTCATGGCTCCAGGAAGTCTGGAATCCATGAGAATTTTAAATTTTGTTCTGCATTTTCATCCTTTTGATCAGGATTCTTCTATAGAATCTTTGATCAAAATGTTCAGTAATGATAGCCGGGCACCATCCAGTTCTTCTGGTCTCATGGCAGAGGAGGCAGTTGTTCATGGAGGCAATTAGCCGCATATTCAATATCCTTCTCCTATTCTTGACTCTCCTTCTTTCTCTGTTGCTCCAGGTGAATAAGACCAATTGTTGTGCCTTGGATGGCTGCTTGCAGGCTTTTAAGACCCCAGGCGCTACACAGCAAACTAGGAGGTAGAACAGAAGCACTAAACATGTTATTAGGCCAATTAACTAGGATGTCACATGAAACCATGACCTCCAAACCAAGGAACCAAATCCCATGAAATTTTTGATTGTATATAAGCAGCCTCAGCAGCTACTCTTTTTTTTTTGTAAATATACCTATCCCACAACTTTTGCCTATTCAACATCTTACAGGTGTACAACTTATTGACAGCAATTATAGTAATCGGCTGTGCAACCCTACCCATAATTAATGAGATATGTCCATCACTGTTAACTCTCTCTTTCCCCCTCCCTCTCACCCGTTAACCACTAACAAACTTTGTTCTCTATACATTTGCCTTTTCTTGTCTTTTTATATAAATGAGGTTATACAACATTTTTCCTTTTGTGATTGACTTATTTCACTCAGCATGTCTTCCGGCTCCTTCCACATTTTAGCATGTATCAAGACTTCATTTCTCCTACTGACTGAGTAGTATCCATTGTATGTATGTACCACATTTCATTTATCCATTCATCTGTTGATGGGCATTTAGGTTGTTTCCACCTTTTGGCTATTGTGAATAGTGCTGCAGTGAACATTGGTGTATAAATCTCTGTTGTGAGTCTCTTTCAAGTCTTTTGGGTATATACCTAGGAGTAGAATTGCTGGGTCATATGGTAGTTCTATTTTTAGTTTTTTGAGGAATCTTCATAGGGTTTTCAGTGGCTGATTTTTCAGAAGTAGATTGCCAGGCTTTTCTTCCGAGGTGCCTCTGAGTGGACTTGAACATCCAACCTTTTGGTTAGAAGTTGAGCACTTAACCGTTTGTGCCACTCAGGGACTGCATTCAGTACTAAGACTCATATATTTTTTCTTATTTTTGCACTACTGAAACCACTAGGGTCTTACACTTGATGCACAGATTTAATGTGACAGTATGTAAGAGTTTTTTTGTTGTTGTTGACAAGATATTTTTAAATCATCTGTGTACCTTATATTGATGACTTCTTAAAACCTGTTGCCGTCGAGTCAATTCCATCTCATAGTGACCCTAAGGGACAGAGTAGAACTGCCCCCATAGGGTTTCTAAGGAGCAGCTGGTGGATTCAAACTGCCAACCTTAGCAGCCAAGCTCTTAACCAGTGTGCCACCAGGGCTCTGATGGCTTCTTAGAGACAAAATTTTTGGTGGCAGCAAAAATTCCTCACGTGCTCTACTGTTTTGTCAAGGATCAGATAAAAATACTATGGCAGTGCCTGGGGTGGGTCTGCCAGATGTTGTTTCCATTTACAGACGGCAACACTGGGCTTGGATTCAGAGATTTTCCCAGTTACACAGCTGCCCTGTTTACAGCCATTTCCACACCTGCTTCCCACATAGGCTCTGTTGCTTATTAAGAGAGTCCATGTGGGTATTCTCACCCGTTTGGGTCTGGGAGTGGTTTTATTATGTTTCCTGAGTCTGAATGCAAACCCTGGTGAAAATATCTGCAGTTAGTTTTGGGGTTGAGGGCAGATGAGAGAGGGCTAGGAACTTCTAGAGAGGATGATGGAACGATTTTCCGAGGGCTGGGCATGGCAGTGGGTCCACGAGAGGGTCAGCAGAAGGTGAGGGGACTGGAGTGAACTGAGACCAGCAGTAGTTGTGAAATTGAAAAGACCTTGATGGTGGTTCTTGAAGGAGGTACATGAATGAAACGCTAGTATGGGACAGGCCGATTAGTTTGGCCAGTGTTTCTCAGATGGTCAGTCACCTGGGCTGCTCATAGAAAATCAGGGGCCTGGCCTCCTGGATAAGAATCTCTCTGAGGGGCCCAAGCAGTACCAGTTGGCACTGAATCAACTCTGACCCATGGCGACCCCCCTGTGTGTCAGAGTAGAACAGTGCCCCATAGGGTTCTCAATGGCTGATTTTTTGGAAGTAGATCACCAGGCCTTTCTTCTGAGTGCCCCTGGGTGGACTCAAACCTCCAACCTTTGGGTTAACAGCTGAGTGTGTTAATTGTTTGCACCACCAAGGGATTCCAGAGGAGCTCAGGACTCTGCGTTTTAAAAATCTCTCCAGGTGGTTCTCAGACCTCTTGCAGGTGGAGCTGTTGGCCTCAAATCAATCTCTGTCCTGTTCAGTTCACAGGTCAGAAGGTTGATGCCCTATTCTTACCGATGCCAGTGACTGCATAAATGGTCCCAGGTGTAAAAATGGCATGGGGGTGGTGTCTGACCTCCTCTAACTTTACAAGGAGAAAGGAGAATCACCATCAATAGCCTAAGGCTGATTTCCATGAGGCTGAGGTCAGACATGCCTCCTCTCTCTGCCGTCTTTACCAATTCTGACACCAACCATCCCTTCCACAGCACTCTCTACTTCTCTGCTGGGTTTGATAATTCGTTGCAATGGCCACACAGAACTCACAGACAATACTCACAATTATGGGGTTTATTAGGGAAGTAACAGTTACAATTCAGGCTTAGGAACACTCAGGATACAGTTCTGCTTGCAGACATGCCTCTCCCTGGCCCTCAGCCTCTACCCAAAGGCACTCAACTTTCTCGCTCCCTGGGATGGGAAGCCCGCTGCACCATCTTCTGCCGGTCTCTCCTGCCACTGCACAGCTCTCTCTCTGTCTCCTGGGTCCAGGAGCTTCTCAGCGCAGGGATCCTGGGTCCATAGGATGTGCTGGCTCCTGGCTGTTCTTCCTTGGTAGTGGTGGGATCTTCTCTTTCCTGTCTCTGGGGTGGCTCATTTCAAGCCCAGTGGGATGGCAAAACTGACCAATCCCTTTGATGGGTCACAATTATCCTCTCACACAGTCCCACCCAAGTGAATGAGTTATAAGACCATGGCTAGAAAGGCCACACAAAAGTGATCCTTCACACTGCACCGGGTGAGGCCAGGCCACTGTACCCATGTGAAGAATTTTAGGCTTTTTGATTGCACGGCCCACCCTGAGCTCCTCCTCCCTTAATCTCATGCCACACTTCCTCCTAGTACGGCTGTGGCATTTAGCACACGCCATTTTCAATCACTATGCACATCTTACTGCCTCGGGCCCTCCATTCTGATGAGATTGAAAACTTGAGAGCAGGGGAGTACCTTAGATTTCTTGCATCCTGGTGCCCAGCGCTGAGGTTTGTACTTCCTGGGATCTCTGTAAACACCTGTTACGTGCGGAGTCCTGACTCATGAAATGGTCAATGGTGATGTAGAGACTGTGGCCTTGCTTTGCTTCCAGTTTCTCCCCTTTTGGAAGAAATGACTCTATTTTATTTGGAAGGAAGTGAGATCTTTCCAGCATCTCAGGAGATTTAAGCAGTATCACATAGGGGCAACTCCGAGTTGGGAGGCTTCCAGAAAGACCCAGGTCCTTCAAAGCCAGGTGTTGGTGAGCAGTACTTTTTCCCAACTCCTGACTTCAACTAGGGCTCCAGCTGGTTCTGAGGGACACCGTGTTTCTAATGTTCAAATGAGACGTTGGCCAACGTCCTGACCCACGTGGTCATGCAATGACCTGTGATTTGTGAAAGGAGATCTGATTTCTCTGCAAATGAGGACAAGAGAGCACAGCAAGTAGGACATTTCTGTGCTACCATCTAACGCTTAGTTTCTAGTAGTATTTTGTATACTAACCTATGTATTGATATGTTACTGTTGTGTACTGGTGAGTTGATTCAGACCCATGGCAACCCTATATGGCAGAGTAGAACTGCCCCATAAGGTTTTCTAGGCTGTAATCTATATGGGAGCAGATCGCCAGGTCTTTTCTCCTGTGGAGCAGCTGGTGGGTTTGAACTGCTGACCTTTCAGTGAGCAGCTGAGTGCTTAACTGTTGTGCCACCAGGGCTTCTTATGTGTGTTGATATACTAATTACTAAAAGACAGTGACTCTAAAATTTTTCTTCTTTGATAACTTTTTTAATGTGGTAAATATATATGTAACAAAATATTTGCAATTTCAACATTCTTCACTTGTACAATTCAGTGACATTATGTTTATCATGTTTTTCAACCATCACCATTATCTGTTTCCAAATTTTTCCATCACCCTTAATAGAAACTCAGTGTCCCCTAAGCAATGACTCTCCCTTTTTCCCTTCTTCCTGCCCCTGGTAATCACTGATAAACTTTGGTCTCTATACACTTGCCTATTCTAGATATTTCCTATACATAGGATCATACAGTATTTGTCCTTTTGTGTTTGACTTATCTCACTCAGCATAATGTTTTCAAGGTTCCTCCATGTTGTAGCGTGTATGAGAACTTCATTTTTCTTTATGCCTGAATAATATTCCATTGTATGTGTTACCTTTTGGCTACTTTGATAATGTTTTTATCTAATTGGTCAAGAACTGTATCTGATTTTAGCCTGCCATATTTTCAGCCATTCTCTTTGCCAGCTTGTGTCTCCTAGGGGGTGAGAAGGAACTGGTTATGTGATTGGTTTAGTTGAGGGGGCTAGAGTGTATGGCACAGGGAAGAAAACAAGATCCTCAGATAATTGACTGTTGCTGAAACAGTTCATAGGAATACTGTGACGGGTAGTTCTTAAGCCAACTCAAGTATTTTCTTTTGGTGTAAGGATATCTGTTCCTATTTTTGGTCTCACCATTTTCCTCCCTTTTTCCTATTTTCACTTCAGTGCACCATGGGGAAGAGGGTACAATTAACCGAGTTTCAGGGCTTGTCTGGGCCACAGCCACCCTCAACAGCTTGCGATTGATTAAACTTGCCCCTGAGAGGGGAACTGTCATATTTTGCTGTGGAGTGTGAATTGTTCTAGCCCTTTGGAAAGCAATCTTGCTTTAACTATTAAAAGCAAAAATGCATACTCTTCAACTCAAGTAATCCCACTCCTGGGAATCTATCTCATACAAGTGAAAACACTAGTACATAATAAAATGTATACAAGGGTGTTTATTATAACTTTTTTCACAGTGGCAAAAAAAAAAAAAAAGAAACGAACTGATTGTCCATCATCAAGGGAATGGTGAAGTAAATTATGGAACATCCACGCCATGGAATATTTTGCAGCCACTAATGAAAATGACTGATTAGAGC